CGGAACTGTCTGCCCTGTTACTTTCTCCTCTGGATTTCTTATCCCACCTATCTTACCTAGATAGACATGCAGAGACAATAATAAGCACAAGAACAAGACAAAGCAAAACAAAACAACAAAAGAAAACAAACAACAAAAACCCAACCACCACCACCACCAAAAAGGCCTATAAATAGTTCCAGGTTTGTTTGTTGACCTTTAGGAGTATTTTCCAGTTGAGTCTGATAGGGTGCCATGCCTGGACCCACAATCTCCTTTTGGTATTCCTTGGGGACTTCCTTGCTCTGCTCCCCTTGCTGCTCTGTTGCATGCCCTTAGTGTTTCACCCCAGTGTGGTGGTGTCAGATTGGGCACAATTCCCACATTGTATCTCCAGTGTTGTCCCCCATAACACTATGGGTCAGTCTAGAGGTGGGGGCGGCCCTTCTATTCTCTCCGTGCATTGGCTGCTTTGAGCAGGACTATTGTCCTTGGGGCTTGGTAGGCCAGCATGTGTTCCACTCTCTCTTTCTCTCTCCTTCCCTCTTTGTTTGATCCTGTATGCTCTGATCAGACATGTCCTTCTCCCTGAGCTGTAGCTTCAATGCTGTCCTCTGAAGTGCATTCTTATTGGGCAGGGGTAGGGGGGTTGGGTGGTGGTGGTGGGAAGGGCAGGGGAGGGTGTCCAAGTAGTTGGGACTGGGGCCAGCTCCTCAGACCTCTCTGTTGGTTCACTGTTTCATGCCAGTATGTTGCATGCATGTCTTGGTCCACTGGGTTGAAGTCTGGTCCCACTCTCCAGGAGATATAAACAACACCCTCCCCTTGGGTGGGTTAGTGCCCTGTTCCCCCGCTGCCCATGTCTTTTTTTTCCCCCTCTTCTTTTTAGTTGGCTACCATATGTATCCCTGGATTGGGTCTGGCCCCTGCCATAGTACCCTGGACCTCACCCCAGGAATGTATGTATATAGTAGCTTTTCCCCTATGCCCCTTTTGCATTTTTAAGCTTACCTCAGCAGATTCATGTTGTACTTGTCTTTTTGCACGTGGCTTACTTTGCTTAGTATATCCAATTCTTCCCATACAGCGATGCACTTCGTGCATTCATCGCTGCCTTTAGGGATGCATAGTCTTCCATTGTATGTATGAACCATAGTTTTTTTTTTTAATCCATCCATCCATCCATCCATTGGTAGAAATTTGGGTTGTTTCTAACTCCTTGTAATTGTGAACTGTGCTGCGATGAACATTGGAGCACAGCTGTCTGGCCGTGGATTGTTTCTTACCTCTTCTGGTTATATGCCCAGTAGGGGGATTGCTGGGTCATATGGTAGCTCAATTTCCATTTGTTTTAGATATCACCAAGTTGATTTCCATAATGGCTGTATATACCTACAGGTCCACCAGCAGTGGATGAGACTTCCTATCTCACCACAGCCCCTCTGACATTTGTTTCTTTCTGATATTTTGAATTGGGCTATCTTTGAGGGTGTTAGGTAGTATCTCATAGTTGTTTTAATTTGCATTTCTCTTTTGCCTAATGATTGGGAACATTTTCCCATATGTTTATTGGCAATTTGGATTTCTGCCCTTGTGAAACTTCAGTTCAGGTTATTTGCCCACCTCCTTAGTGGACAATTATTTTTTTTCTTAATATAAGCTAGCAGACTATTGTTGATTTTAATAATAAGGCCTTTGTCTGATGTGTCATTGCTAAAGGTATTTTCCCAGTCTGTGGGCTTTCTTATTACTCTCTTGGTAAATTCTTTTGATATACAGTGCTTCCCACTTATCAATTTGTCCCTCCCCTCTGTTTGTGTCCTTCAGTATATCCCACTTCTCAATTTGTGCCTCCTCTGTGTTTGTGTCCTTCCCTATTTCCAATACCCTATGTATTCCCTGCACCGAGGTTCTCAGGTTTGTTCCAATTCCCTCATTAATGGCCTTAACAGTTTGGGGTTTTACCTCAAGGTCTGTGACCCACCTTGAGTTTATACTTGTGCATACAGTGAGGTAAGGGTCTTGCATCATTTTTCTGCAGGTAGATATCCATTTTTTTCCAGCACCACTTGTTGAAGAGGTCATCTGTTCCCCATTTGAAATGTCAGGGCCCTTATCAAAGATCAGTTGTCTGTATGCTGTTGATTTTATTTCTGGGTTTTTAGTTCTTTTCCACTGTTGCGAGTATCTGTCATTATACCAATACCATGCTGTTTGGACCACTGTGCTAAAGTCAGGTAGAGCAAGCCCTCCCACTTTGTCCTCTTCTTGAGGAGTTCTCTGCTACTTCAGGGCTTCTTCCCTCTCCATATGAAGTTAGCAATCAGTTTTTTCAATTCTTTGAAGAAGGATGATGGCATTTGTATCAGGATAGCATTAAACTTATATACTGCCTTGGGCAGAACTGACATCTTTACTATATTGAGTCTTCTGATCCACAAGCATGGGATATTCTTCTATTTGTGGAGGTCACTCTTGGTTTCTTGTAATAGTGTTCAGTGGTTTTCCTTATAGAATCTTTTGGTTTTTTTTTTTTAGTCAGGTATATGCCTAGATATTTCAATTTGTGCTTGGCTATTGTGAAGGGTACCACCTTTTTGATCCCCTCCTCTGTGGCCTTGTCCGATGTGTATAGCAGTCCGATAGACTTCTGTTTGTTGATCTTGTGCCCTGCCACTTGAGGCAGAATTTCTTCCCTAGGGAAACCTCAGTTTAGCTCTTAAGGTCTTTCAATAGATTGGAAAAGGCCCATCCATCCACAGTAGCAGAGTTTCCCCCCTCCCCCATTCATTAAAGACAATTTATTGCAGACATTAACCACATATACAAAATCCCTTCACAGCAACATCTGGATTTATGCTTGATTAAATAACTACATACAATAGCCTAACCATATGGACAGATAGAAAAACCACCACACCTGGTAATACCCACTTAAGAGCAGGGCCAACTTCATCGGGTGTGCCTGTGCTGGGCCATGTGCTTGGCTTAATACCTTGGCATCACCTTCTTAAAATTCCTAATCATTTTTTAACACGAGGTCTCAAATTTTCATTTTGCACTGGGTCCTGCATATTATGCAACTCGTCCTGCTGAAGCGTTGGATCTTGCTTCCAAGACTATGGACCTGTGTCTCCTGGCTGAGCCACTCTGATGATATTCAGTCCAGGCAAGGTTGATAGGTCCTCGTGGCTACTCCACTTATCCGACACTTTATCATATTCTCCCTTGTATTTGTAGTTACCATTTTATGCACCTTAATCTAGCAGTCCTGCTGTAGTGGGTTACACAACAGGCTGCTAACCACGAGATCAGCAGTTCAAATCCACCAGTTGCTCCACAGGAGAAAGATGATTTTTTGTTCCTGTAAAGACCTACAGCTTCAGAAATGCACAGGAGGGTTCTCCTCCATCCTATGGTGTTGCTATGAGTTGGAATCAACTCAACACAATGAGTTGAGTTGAGCACATTCATCTTATTTTCCCAAACTAGAAGACAAAATTATTGAGGGCGAGAACCTATACTTTTAATTTGCCAAAATTAAATAGGTACAACTCAGAGCACCCCTCTGGAGACCAGGGTGAAGCACCCCTGCCCTGTGCCATCCTCACAGTTGTTCTCCTATTGGAGACCATTGCTGCAGCCCGGGCCAATCCTTCTTGTCCAGGGCCTTCCTCGTTTTTGCTCCCTCGACTTTAGCAAAAATGTTACTTTACCAAAAGTTAAAAAATAATCATAAGAGAAACCAGTGGGAACAGAGTGTGGATCATTCTTGGTCTTTATTAAAAAGAGGGCTTGGGGGAGGATGAAACCTTTCTCCACGATGCTGCCATGGAGAACACGTGACATCATCTATCGATCGGAGCTGCTCGCGGGCCCTGCTCTGTCCCCTTCCCTTCACTGGCGACCTGCTGCGACCTCTCTGTCTGCGTCTCCTGGCTTCTGTGCCTAATCTGTTCTTTGTTTTTTAGATCTCAACAGTAATCTCATTTAAGACACATCCTACACTGACATAGGCTCCTTAACCAGATACAACCCTATTCCCAAATGAGATCACATCTGTAAGTATAGAGGTTAGGATTCCAGCACTTAACACACACACACACACACACACACACACACACACACACACACAATTTTTGTTGTTGTTAGGTGCCACGGAGTCAGTTCTGACTCATAGCGGCCCTCTGTGTCGTGGAACAAAACCTTGCCCAGTCCCGTGCCGCCTTCACCATTGTTACGTATGAGCCCATTGTGACATCCCTGTGCCAGCCCGTGTCCTTGAGGGCTAGCTTTTTAAAAAAGAAATGAAATCAAGGAGCGCCCCACTCCCCAAACATTCCATGCTGGTGATCAGGTGGACAGATGGACCCGTGAAGGTGGGTTTAGGTGAAGCAGGCAGTCCCAGGGCAGATGGAAACCCACCTGAGCATTTGAAAAACAAAACAAAACAAAACAAAACAAAAAAACCACCCCAAGGATGAAAGAAAGCCGAGCACAGCACACAGGACTTCTGTGCCCCTGTTGAGGGCACCAGCCAGTGGGATCCAGTGCCCAAGGAGTCTGGAAGGGAGTCCTGACCTGACAGACCAGGGGAATTTCACTTCCTCACCAGGCAACAAAAGGAGTCCTGGTGGCCCAGCAGTTAGCGCTTGGCTGCTAGCCTAAAGGCCAGAGGTCCAAACCTACCAACTGCACCACAGGTGAGAGGTATGCTAGAGTCTGCTTCCAGTAGGATTTACAGCCTCAGAAAACCAACGGGACCATTCTACTCATAAGGCTGCTATGAGGCAGAATTGACTGCTTGGCCCTGGGTGCTAATGGGTGCGCCCAGCCAGCAGTGTGCATCTATGGATGCGCAATCACTGACCTCCTAGACAAAGCATTTTAGGGTTTCTCTTCCTCCCGAGAAAAGAGGATTCCATATTGTCGGCTTGGGGAAAGGGATGCCTGTCAGGGAGCTGCAAATGGGAATGTGGGTGCTGTGTAACTCCTGTTCAGGTCCCTCCATCCGGGAGGAGCAGTGAGGAGAGGCCTGCGCGGTAGGAGGAGCTGAGGGTGCTGCAGCAGAGGGGCAGCCATTGCCATCTTTGCTCCTTCAGGCCCGTGAGCCTCGGGACCTTCGAGCACATCTGAGGCACGGGGAGGGCAGGGTGAGGATGGAGAAGTGGTGTGGGAAAGCTGGGCTCCCATTTCCACTTCAATAGAACACTTTCTCCAGATACGCATTCAGGAACATCCCCGTGGGGTCCAGCTTCTCTCGGATGGCGCAGAATTTTGGGAAGGCAGGATACATGTGCTCAAAGTCTTTCCGGGTGCAGCTGTGGGCCTGTGGGGGTAAGCAATGTCACCGCAGGTCTCCCGGTTGGAGCTGGCCTTCCAGCAGGGCTACAGACCAGGCACCTGTGTGTCACTTCGCCTACAGGCAGGGCATCCTCAGTAGACATGCACAGAAAGGAGGGGCCTCTGGGAAGTATAGGAGCAAGATGGTAGGACCTGCCATCACATCTCCCATCCCCATCCGCGCCGCCCCCCCCCCCGCCCTTGGGATGCAGCAGAGAAGGCAGGCTCTGGCCCCAATTCTGTAGCTACGGAGTGAGTGAGTGCCCTCACTTCTTAGAGACCCTCAGCTTCCTGTCTGGGAAATGGGCTTACCGATCCTGGCCTTAGCCTGCCCGTAGGGTTTTGGGAGAATCAAATACACCCAACAGAGGGAATTCTCTGGAAATGTACAAGTATCAGTTGCAGGTGAAAGATCACAATTTCTGAGCCGGCTTGGAGACCAGAGCACAGAAAGGGAATTGGGTCTGGTTAGGGTTGGGAGCCTGCTTCTCTCTGCGTTTTGCTCAGCCCGGTCTTTCCCAACACCCTAGCTGGGGTCACCAGAGGGAATCGAGGTGTTTCCTGGTTAACCGATGGCTCATAAGCAGCTAGCTGCCTGGCAGTGAGACTCGGAGGAGGAGCATGTCTTACCTTGGCCCAGTGGGGCCGCCCCCCAAATTTCTTCATGATGGCCTCATAGGCCAGCCAGTAGTCCAACCGTGGCACGTCCTTGCCGTAGGGCCTGGGGAGGGCAGAGGGACAAAGTGAGGCCTTTGTCCTGCCTGGTGTCACTGCCCACAGCCAGCACTTGACACTGCAGATGGGGGGGTTTAGGCCTGGCTCTGATCCCAGGAGCTCCCAGTCTAACAGGGCAGTAAGACAGGTGGCAGCCACCCAGTGATTTGGGCTTTTACTCATGTGTCCCCAGAAGAATTGAGACAACTGGTGCCTTGTCTCACATGTTTTTCAAGTTGCACCTATGATTTAGCATACATTTGAATAATTTCTGAGAATTTTGCACTAATTAAAATGTACTTTGACCAAGCATGGGAATTTCAGAATGACCTCATTGGATGTATGCAAGATGCGGCAGCCATATCATGGCTCATCAGTTCTGGTTGCCCAGCCAATCAGCCAGGCCAGACACTGCCCCAAAGAGGCTGACTTCATTTGAGAAAATATTCAAATAAGCAGGTGACTATACATCCCCATAGCAGCGTCCTCACTCCTTGAATCTGAGCTCCCAGGTGTGTGGGGTGGGGGGAGGCGGAGCCTTCCCTGACTATCACCTAGGAAACCAAGTCACACTCTGCCCTTTTCTGGCTTTTGTGGGACTCCCTTCTTTCATTGCCCCATGGAGTCCTGGACGCGGAGGCGTTAGGCTCTGGAGAAACACTCCCTAGTAATGCGCAGGATGGGTACAAACAAATGAAAACCAAATGCATTGCCATCGAGTTGATGCCGACTCACAGTGACCCTGTGGGACAGGGTAGAACGCCCCAGAGGTTTCCAAGACTGTAACTCTACAGGAGTAGAAAGCCCCATCTTTGTTCCCCACTGCACCTGGTGGGAACCACTACACAACCAGGGCTCCCCAGGACCAGGATGGACATGGGGAAGGAGGGTGCCTTGCAAAGTCAGAGAGGGGTGTTATGAATGAGAGGTTGGGAAAGAGGAGGTGGAAGAAAGACCTATTTATTTCTAGCAGGGAGTTTGTTTTTAAAAGAATGCATCTGGAAATGCAAGATCTGGAAATGGGCTTCACCTGTCCATGTCCCTGTGCCTGGCTGGCAGGCTGTTGCTGGCCTAACCAGGAAGAGGGCAGCTGTGGTCTGGCATCCAGTATCTGCCGGCACCAGTGCCTAGGAGGGTTGCATCCTAACATAGTTTAGCATCCTCTTTTTGGCTGAACTTGAACTTGGCCTGTGGTAGTTGGATAATTTTATGTCAACTAGACACTCATGGCTAGAGGTAGAGCCCAAACCTGTCAATCAAGTAGTAGCTTGATGTGGCCTCCTTGGGGGTGTGGCTTCAGTGTGAGAGGGAGGGACTCTGGGAACCGTCTCTCTTGGCCACTTCACCTTCCTCCTCGCTGGGACCTCCTTGGGAGTGTCTGCTGCCAGGGGGGGCCCACATGGGGCTGACCCTGAGAGCTGCCGACACCCTGTCCTGTTTCCAATGCCCTTGGCTCCGTGTGACTCTGCACCCATGGGCCTGTGGTCTTCCCGCTGCCTGGTGCACCATTCTGTCACTGACATGCGGCTGCCTGAGTCTGAAGAGGGCCTTATGGACTAGCATCAGGCTTTGGACTTGAGTTGAACTGGGCTGGGCTGCCCTCTTGATATATAATTACTTCTTGATAGAAAGCTCTTTCTTATACGTAGATGAGTGTCTCTGGATTTGTTTCTCTAGACAACCTGGACCTAACACATGGCTTCAGCATCCTCCTCGACAGAGCAGCCTAGGCTGTCGGGATCACTGGCTAGAGAAAGCGCATTTGTCATCTCATCATATTATCAGCATCATAAATGGTACTTATTCATATTACGATAAACATGTGATGGCAATCGTGGTTCTATAACAAAGCCTAGAAAACGGCTAAGTGCCGTGGGACTATCGAGAAGGGGTTAGGGCACTCAAAGAAGAAAGCGGCTCGTCCCTGCTTCCAGCACCAGAGAGGAAAGTCTTCCTGGAGGAAGCGGCGTCCGGTGGGCAGAAAGATTGGTCATCTCTGGACTGAGGGCAGGCAGGGGGCAGTGTCGCCCTCAGCCCTTAGCAGGCTCTGGGGCCGGTCACCTGTACATGATGATGTTGATGTAGCAACTGTCCCTCTGGAAGCAGGGGCTCAGCAGGATGTCATCCCCCTTGGTGAAGCGGACCTCCACCGGGTAATGTGCCACCATCTTGGGGTGGGCCTCCAGCATGGTCTTCAGCTCCAGCAGCACCTCCTTGGTCTTCTCTCTGCACTCAGTGGGGAAAGAAGCGAGGTAAGAGGGCCCCTCACACAGGCCTCTGCACAGCCTCCCAGGCAGCCCCCGCAGCAGGGGCTCCTTGCTCTTGGTGGGTCCATGTACGCCTACCCTAAGTCTTCCTGATGGAGGGTGGAGCCTACGTGTGCACCTCCCTGGAAAGCCCACCTGGTGCTGTTGGCTGGGCCCCCAGGGTTTGTGGACTTGAGGGTCCCCGGAGGTACGACACAGTTGTCTGCGGTCCCCAGGCTGAGTATAATGACATGCTGGAAATGGCACTCCAGTTCTTATATTTCTGCCTGCAGAGGCTGTGGGCCCAAGCCACTGAGCACAATGGCTGAGGCGTGCCCTGAGCGCCTGTCGCAGGAGAGAGAGGGGGGTTTGGATTTGAGATGGTTTGGAGTTCAGATGAGGGGCCTAGTCTTCCCACCCCTGGCACTGGCACTGCCAGATGGTCTCCCCCCAACCAGGACTGACAGCGGAAAGAGGAGCTGGGCCAGGGCCCAGGAGGCACGCCCATTACATGCTGACAGGCATTTGCTGACGTGTCCTCTGAGCACCAGGTCAGTGCCCAGGCCAAAGCTTAGTAGAGGTTACCGGGGTGGATGGGTGGGGGAGGGAGCCGTTGCTTTGGAAGCACTGAGCTGCTTCCGATTTTGAGGGTGGCAACATCTCGGTGGACCTCGGTACATTGGTGATGGTTGAATGTGCTTTAATGCAATGGGCCCCGGGAGTTGTACCAAAGGTAATCATTGAATTGCCTGAATGGGTTATTTCATTATTATAACAGATAAAAAGAAGAAAGAAGCTCCACGCTCCAACTGGAAGCCTGTAGCACCCTCTCCTCGGCCTTCCCCCATCTCCTGGCTGGAGGGGACAGACCTGGCAGGATGGGGGAACCCCGTGACTGGCTGCCCTGGGTGGTAGAATGACTGGGTACAGCGAGTGTTGGCTGGACTCAGAGTCCGATGTCTCTGGTTCTGCCTCTAGTACTGCTGGCTAAGTAAGATCTTAGCATCCCAGAGCCCTGGGGAGATGCACAGAGGCCCCCACGGCCCTGTGGCCGGGCGGGATGGGTTCCCCAGCCCCCATGGGAAGGAAGGTGAGGAGGGCTGTGGTCTCCTCCAGCTGTACCGGCCTGCAGTCAGACCCAGGGCAGAGCCCCTACCTGGGGATGGCCCAGTCCTGCACGTGCTGCTGGAAGAGGCACTCATAGGAGAAGATCTTGTGGCTGAGGTTGCTGCTCTCCCTCTTCACGCTGAACAGGAGCCGGAAGAAGCAGCGGTTGATCCAGCCCACCAGGCACGGCAGGAAGGTGCTGTAGCAAACAGAGCCGAGAGGCTGCACAGGGCTGCCTGGGGGCTTAGGGGTCCCCCCACAGCAACCATGACACTGCTGTGGATGTTGTTAGCTGCCATTGACTTGGTCACCATGTATGATATCCCCAGGGCCCACAGTATGACACCCTGCCTGATCCTGTGCCAACCCCAGGATTGATCGCAATTCAAGTCACTGTGAGCCATGGGAGATACCGAATCAGTTGGAATCACCGATGGATGGTTAGCAGAAAACACCTGCTGCTGACAGCGCCCAGGGACTTTAGAAACCAGGGCCTTCCTCTGACAGAGTTTACCACGTAGGTTGCTTCAGTGGAGTCTCTGTGGCTTAGAGCTTATCCAGCCGATGTGAACATCACACTAAGTCATACTTGTTCTAGCTGCCCAGAGCTCCCGCCCAAACGAACCCCACTGCCACAGGCTTGTTCCGACTCCTGTCACAGGAATCCAGGCTCTGAATAACCCATTTCACCCTTCCCCTCATGATTGGCCTGGGTCAACTTTTACCACGACTGCCACCCTATCAGAGGAGTGCGTGCGCGTGCACACACATGCACACAATCGGGCGTGGAGAGTGGAGTCTGGAGAGTAAGCCTTGGTGAGTTTCCCAGAGCAGAGAGCCCAGTGACAACGCCTTTCTTGTGGCCCAGCAAGCGACAAGCCCGTGGGCAGGGCCAGTGTCTTCCCAGGGACCAGAGTCTGGAAACTGAGAACACAGCCCCACTAGCTGCTTATAAAACAATCATGTCTTCAAAAGGCTCCCAACGATGGTCAGGTGGGAGGGGATGGGAATGACTAGACTTTTTAGGAATCAATTTGGCCGTGACTGCTGAAATGAAAAGCCACTGTACCCGTAGCTTCAACAAGCTGGCAAAGATCGGGGCGCAAAGACACTTGCTAACTCAAAACCTGTGGCTGCTGAGCCAATTCTGACACACAGTGAGCCTGCAGGATGAGAGCAGACCCTCTGGGGGTTTCCAGGCTGTCGTCTCCATGGAAACAGACCGCCACATCTTTCTCCTGCAGTGGCTTGTGGGCTCAAACTGCTGACCTTTCAGCCAGAGTGGCCCCTGCCCAATGCTCAGCAGGCCAGGCGGTGCAGCGAATGCTTCCTACATCACATTGTCTGTGCTCAATCCATCCCACAGTCGCACAGAGCCTTCGGACCCTGTGGGATTACAGACAACACCAGGGGATCCAGGACCTCTGTTCTGCCACCGAGGTCAGGCATGAGGAGCATGGCTGAGGCTTGCTCTTCTGGGAGGGAAAGGAAGTTAACATTTAACTTTGCCCACAGCCTTTGGTCGTTCTGTCTGACCTGTGCTAAGAGCTCTAACTGATGTGTGAGTAAGCATAGCACAGAAAAGGGAGGGATTTTCCCAGAGTCACCCAGCAGGTAAATGATGGTGTAGGTCAGAGTGCAGGTCCACTTGAATGCATAGGCCATGCTGTTCCCATCCCCCCATGGGGCCTGAGTTTTCCTAGGACCTGTATAAATCGGAATTGACTTGATGGCTCTGGTTTGTTTATCTATCTATCATCTAGCTAGCTAGCTATCCTAAGCGATGGGAATGTGCTGCAGGGTAGAGTCAGGTGGGGAAAGGCTCTCTGCCTCCTTCAAGGTAGATGCCTTCTGGTGTCGCAGAGGCCAACCTGGGCGTAAGGGGGCTTCCACTGTTGGTATCCTACTCAGGGCACGGCGTTGTTCTTATCATAGAAGCTGCGGGCTAGGACAGCTCTGGCTTTGCTCACCTCCTGGGGCCTGTGTTTCACCTCCTTTTCCCCCCAGAGCTTTCCTCACCATCTCCATCACCACCACCACCACCACCACCACCACCACCGCCACTGCCGCCACCACCACCACCAATACTACCACCATTACCACCACCACCACCACCATCAATAGCACCACCACTACACACTGCCTTCGACTGGGGACAAGAACCAAGCCCCTTCCTTTCAGGGTTTCTTCCACAGATACCGGTGGGCCTCCTCAGTGCAGGTACTGGTGCAGGCACAGGGAACTGAGTGATGGCAAGCCAGGCATAGCCCCCCCTCTCACAGTTACAGCTAGTCTTACTGGGGTGCACACGTTCAACCACCAGCTCCTCAACTTATCATTCATGTGTTCATCCCTACATCCGCCCAGCTGAGGGGACGAGGCAGGGTCAATGCAGTTACCGGAAGCCGCCACAAGGGAGCCCCAGGGACTGAGCGCTGAGGCTTGGAGCTGCGATGGGCTGTCAGGGTTCTGGCCGAGAAACGGCCACTGTGATTTAGAGTCCAATTTATGTGGTTCCTCGCTGGCCACAGACACAGGCAGATAAAGCTGTCGAGTTGTCGGTGATGGAAGCCGAGCCCGGGTGAGAAGACCTGACGGGGCATTTTCTGCTCCCTCTCACGATCCGTCATCTGGACAGTGGGGGGGCTTTTCCCAAGCTCTCGGACGTCTTCTTGCCCCTTCCTGCTCGGATCCACCTAAGTCACTTCTTGTGCCTCCTTATACTTTGATGTCTGCCCCTCACCATGGAAGCCACCTGATATCACCTTTGCTCCCCTACTCTGAGGAGGGGCCTGCCCCTTGAAGGAAAGGGGCAGCCTCTTCCCTTGATGCTTGAATTCAAACGGGTGCTCAGCTCTGACATGAACGGCGGCTAAGAACACAGGGCTCTGGCCTCACTGCCTTCTCTGCCCAGCTGTCTGGCTTCCGAGGGAGGAGTGCGCTCCAGCCCAAGCCTGACTCATGATCCATCCACGGTGTGCCCTCTGAAAAGGCCTCTTTGTGCCTCAGTTTTCTCATTTGCAAAGTCTGAATGATGCATCCTACCTCCTGGGGATGTCTCAAACATGAAAGGGAATAGCCCACGTCCCATGCACAGGGAGGGACCTGGGCTACAAGAACCAAAAAGCCCACTGCTAGTGAGTCTGTGCCAACACAGAGTGACCCAGCCCAACAGGGTAGAACTGCCCCTGTGGGTATCCGAGACGGTAACTGTGTACAGAAGTAGATCGCCCCATCTCTCTCGCATGGAGCAGCTGCTGGTTTCGAACTGTAGACCTTGTGGTTAGCAGCCCAGTGGGTAACCACTATGCCACCAGGGTTTCTTGTGCTCCAAGAGGCCAACAAAGCAAACCCCCTTTATCTACTACTAACTGCTAACAGCTGCAGATTCCTCAGGGAGAAATTGGAAAGGATTAATTAATGTTGGAAACCTGACTTAGTTGAGGTCAGCAGGAAAATAGGGTCAACACGGCATCTTTCAGCCTCAGACCCTTCGGGTTGAGGGGTAGCCCAGGCTAACCCAGGCTGACTGCCATGGTGAGAACAGGAAGGGGGCCTCTAGCTTGGCTGGAGGGTCCCAGAGAATCAGACTCTTGCTTGGCCTGGGGAATGCCCAAGAACAAGCCCCTCAATATCCGAGTATGCTTGCTATTTATATATACTCAGCTCTGGACGCTCGGTCCCCTCAGTCTATCTGGAATCCACCATTCATTCACCTCTCTCCATCTTCACTGCCACCACCTGCCACGGCCATCACTCGTGGGCGGGTACAGCGACTTCCCTCCTCCTCTACCCCTGCTTCTGCCTGTCCAGTCTCCATAGGGCTCCCGCTACAGAACCCCCCTCCTTCAAAGCCGACTGTGTGGATGGTCTTGAGAAGAATGGGAAGTCCACAACACTTCATTGTGCTTGTGCGGAATGTGTACATGGACCAAGAGGCAGTTGTGGGATCAGAACAAGGGCATACTGCGTGGTTTAAAAGTCAGGAAAGGTGTGTCTCAGGGTTGGATGTGCTCACCATGCTGATTCCATCTGTATGTTGAACACAGCCTCAGAGAAGCTGGATTACGGGAAGAAGAATGGGGCAGCATCAGGAATGGAGGCAGGCTTATGAACAACCTGCGATGTGCAGATGACGCAGCTGTGCTTGCTGAAAGTGAGGAGGACTCGAAGCACTTGCTGTTGAAGAGCAAGGATTTGCAGCCTTCAGCGTGGATGTCAATTCAATGTGAAGAAGACTAAGACTCTCACAAATGGACTAATAGCCAACATCGTGATCAATGGAGGAAAAGTTGGAGGTGTCAAGGGTTTTGTCTGGCTCGGATCCACAACCAATGCTCCCGGAAGCCACAGTCAAGAGATCAAAGGACACATTGCAGTGTGTACATCTGGTGCACATGACCTGTTTTAAAATATTGGAAAGCAAGCAAGTGACTTTGAGGACATTGGCATGCCTGACACAACCATGATATTTTCAGTGACTTCATATGCGTGTGAAAGGTGGGCCTGGATTGAGGAAGAGTGAGGGGGAGTGGATGCATTTGAACGAAGGTGTTGGCAAAGCATATTGAAAGTACCACGGATTGCCAAAAGAACAGATCTGTCTTTGTAGAAGTACAGCCAGAATGCTCTTTAGAGGAAAGGATGGCGAGATGAACGTCTCACGTACTCGGGGCCTGTGGTCAGGAGAGACCAGTTCTTGGAGAAGGCCATCATGTGTGGTAAAGTGGAGGGGCAGCCAAAGAGAAGAAGCCCTTGACAAGATGGACCGACGCATCAAGGGCTCAAGCGTAGGAACAATCGTGAAGATGGCGCAGGAGCAGGCAGGGCTTCGTTGTGTGGTACACCGGTAGGGTCACTATGAGTTGGATCCAACTTGACAGCACCTACCAGCAACAACCTTAAAACCTTTCTAATGACGTCCCATTGTCCTTAGCCTGGCCTGTAAGCCCTGCCTCCCTGCCACCCTCATGTTACACAAGTCAGCAAAGACCCGACGAGGCACCTCCTTGTCCCCTTCACAACGTCTGTGAGTTCCCATGCCCGGCTCCAGCTGCACCCCCGACCGAAGCCCGTGTTCATGCCGTGCTGCTGATTGTGGCCAGGGCCTGCCACACGGAGGTCCTTACATGGAAAATGACCCCAACCACTGGCATCCTGGGGAGTGGGTCTGGAAGTGTAGAAGTCAGAGTGGCATAGACCGGGACTTGAGTCCTCAGGAGGGAGGTTCTGAGACACCAGGGATCAGAGAGAATGAAGTCGGCTATGGAAAGTTGTAGAATCACCAAGACTTTCAGTTCCCAGAGCTTCAGAAAATGCCTCTGTCTAAGAGACAGACTGTGGAAACGCAGGGAAACTGAGGGCTGAGGGGCTGTCAGGAACAAGGGTCAAGGACAAATAGAGCCTTTTAGAAATAGAGGATTATGGGAGAACCTACTCCTCCAGGCATCAAGTTTTATTATGATCAAGAGAGTATCCTTCCCAAAAAAGTGCCCGGAAAACTGGTTACCATTGAGGAAAAATGAAATTGTTTGACTATTTCACCCCAAGGTCTAAACTTATTCCAGTTGGATTAAATGGAAAAGCAAAATTAAAACAGCATCTTTTTTATGGCCTCGGGGTAGGAAATGAATTCTTAATTAGCCACAAAAGTCTCCAAATGAAAGAGCAGATGAAGAAATTTGATAAACTTAAAACTAAAATATCTGTATATTAAGACACAGTAAAAATTAAAGACAAGGTAAGAACTGGGAGAAGATGTTCGCAATCCTTACAGTCAACAAAGGATAAGGGCTCAACATAAAGAAAAATGAGATCTTACAAAATAAGAAAAAGAAAATCCACCCAGTAGGGGAAAAGGACAGAGGGCATATCATGGGCACTTCAGCAGAGGAACCCTGAATAATCAATAAACTGAAAACTGTACTAGCCATCGGGTAAATGAGAAACCAGGCAATAAATCCTTTAATCCCCACCAACATTTAAGGGTCTTCAAATCGTGATGGTGACAAGCCAATGGAGCACTGAGACTCTTACAACAAGCACTGAAAATCTTACCACGCTGGGGGTGTTAAGGTAACCTGCCCATTTGGGAAAGCAATTTAGAACTATCCAATAAAGCTGAAGATACTCCTTACTTGGCCCAACAGTTCTATTCATCAGTATATATTCAAGATTTTAGAAAAGCATCAGTAAAATGTTTCAACTTGCAGAACGCTCACAGCAATATTATTATTTGTAATGACAAAAAGTGGGGAGGTAAAGTCGATTCTGAATACACAGGTGCATTTTATACTAATCTTCAGACCTTAAACATTTGCTGCTCATAGTATTTAATACATATACTATGTCATCATCATTTATAAGACTTCATCCCCCATCTTGGTTGAATAGAGAGTCACCACTCGAAGGCCCCCAAGCCTTCATCACTGACCATTACAGGTCCAGTGGCCAACACGGGGCCTGAGCAAGGAGATGGACCCAGGAAGGAGGGGAAGAGTAGGGAAAGGTATAGATTATCTCTTTTTTTTAATTAAAAAAATGATGTTTAATTTTCTCTGATATTTCATAAATAATTTTTAATCCTTAAAAGAAAACTATTTTTGAAGACAATGTAAACGTTCTTGACCAGGTGTTCTCAATATTGGCGGTGCATTTGCATCACCTCTGGGCCAGCATGGCACCTAGCCATTGTTTTGTTTTATTTGTAAATTCATCATGAGATTTGACTAAAGAGGCAAGATTGAGACCACATCCTAGACCCACAGGACCCAGTATGCAGACATAAAGGTGGGGGTGTTACGCTTCTACTGGACTACATCATCTCCAGTGCATGGTAGGTGTCAGACATAAAGGTGGGGGTGTTACTCTTCCACTGGACTACATCATCTCCAGCGCATGGTAGGTGTTGGACAAAGGTACCATTGTGCTCCTACCTGATCCAGAGCAGGAACTCCAGTAGATAGAATCCAATGGCATAGTCCCAAAACCAGCTGGCTGAGGAGGAGGCGGGCTGAGAAACAGAATTTGTGATCAACTCAGGGTCAGGTAGAGCCCTCTTCTGACCTATATATCCACTGGCCCCTTTGAGGAAGATGTGTCCTGGGTGGCTGTGTGTGAGGGGGTGTATGAGGGGTGAACAATAAACACTGCCTGCCAGGACAAGTGAACCAGACCTCAGATGGCATATTAGATGCCATCTGAGGTCTGGTTCAGCTTTCTAGCACTCTAATGTACCCCGTTTTTGTCTTCTGATGCCTCCTCCCACATCTAGGCTGTCTCTTGACCATCACTACTTACACATCCCCATTCATTCGCATAGTGGACCCTCGTGAACAATCCTGGTACCATAGTGGTTATGAGTTGGGCTGCTATTGGCAAGGTTGGTAGTTCAAAACCATCAGCTGCTCCTCAGGAGAAAGACAAGGCTTCCTACACCTCTAAAGAGGTGCCTGGTCTCCCAGAATGCATGTGAGTGCACACTGTGTGTGCTTGTCACTGGCAGTCAGTCTTCTGCTCACTCTCAGATCTGTCCTGGACAACCTGTCCACCCCCCTACCCCCAGTAGCAAGCGGATAGACAAGGCATCAAGACAGGAATGAGGCCCACAGCTACCTTGTTGGTGTGGTCCTGGTATATGACCCGGACGTTCTCACTGTGTGGAAACCAGTGGAAGCGGAAGTATTCAGACTTCTTCAGATGGCTGTCCAGGTTGTCAAGGACCTGACCGCAGCAGAAGGAAAGAGGGGATTGCTCTGGTTAATGGGGAAATGCTTGCCAGGCTTGCGGGGAGATTTGCAAGGCTCCGTGCTCCAAACCCATGTCGGCGCAGAACAGCCACCTGAGAGAGCGATAAACACCTGGCTTCTGCTGACACTTCCTGTGACCCACACTAACCCTGTTTTTCAGTCAGGCTGGGGAAGAGCGGTGGGTTTAAGCAGGCAAGGGTCTCATTGTGGCTCCTTATGGTTTGGGTGGCATAAGGGCCGAAGGGTTGATACTGATTTCTAAAGTTTCTTCATCTTCTAAGTGGCTGTCGTGGCATCCTGACCAGAGGGCACAGAGCCAGAAACGATGGGAATTTGTCATTGAACTCCCTGAAGGCAGCCCCAGCTTCAGCACCACTTCCATCAAACTGAACTTGGACCTCACGCCCTCTCCCTCCTTCCCTGCATCTTGGTAACATGGGCTGAAACTCTCTCTGGGACTTAGAAATGAGTCCTTCCCCTGATCTAGTTTTGAGCAGTTTTGAACTGAATTTCAAAAGAATCATTATTGGGGAGCATGGAGTTGGATGGATCCAATCCTGCGTGGGGAAAAACTAGAAAAGAATGAGTTTTAAATAAAGTTTTAAATAAAGTTTTGATCAACTGACCATTGGAGCGATGTTGTATCAAGCACTAATAAGGATGCTGGCGAGGACAAGGACTACTAGTCACAAGGTTGGCAGTTCAAACCCACCAGCTGCTCAGAAGGAGAAAGGCAAAGCTGTCTTTTCCTGTAAAGGTCTGCAGCCTTGAAAACCCTGCATTTCCAAGGTAGTTGTGAGTTGAAATGAACTCAAGGGCAGTGCCTTTGGAATGTTTTGTAAGATCTCTACCCTCTTGGAGCTAATCATCCACAAGAAGAGGGTGGGGACAAATGTGAAGAAGCAGTTAGCCAGGGTCTCTGCACACAGGCATGACCAGCATGGCTAGTCTAACGAGGGCGGTGTGGACACAGCTTCTTGATTGACACATTCCTCCCCTGAAGAGAAAGGAAGGGAGAAGAATCGAAGGGAAGCAGAAATGGTTGAGAACCTGAGTCTTCAAGCCTGACTTGACATTCAGGAAGCAATTGTCATGCTTCCTGGTCCTGGCTTCCTGTGCTCCTCGTATCGTCCCCCTCTGGCTCCAGACCACCCCACTGTCCTACTTTCCAGAGGGACTGCTGCAGGTCTGCAGAGGACCATGATGCTGGCGGGCTGTGGGCATCCTGGTACTTGGGGCAGCATGGTTCATGGACTCAGTGAAGGTGGGGCAGCTCCTCAGAACCTTCAATGTCAGGGACAGCGAGCGGATGCCAAGTGGAGGCTTCTCTGTTTGTGCTCAAGGAACGTCAGGCCTCTTGAATGATAGACCCAGTCATTCTCCCTTTTGGATTAGAAGGGGGATTTAAAAAATCACCTGCACAGCCAGAGTGGAGCAAAGATGCGGCCATGGCACTTTGCAGAGACCCAATTCTCCCCTTTCCCCCGCCTTCCATTTATTTCCTTTGAGGTGGATGGAGCAAGGTCACTGGGGTAGCTTTCCATCTTCACTTTAGTTTTTCCTCCCAGGCCTTTTCAGCCCTCTACAGGATGCTCTGAGCGGAGAGCGCAAAGGCAAGTGAAATATGGGCCTATTGATTGCGCACATCTCCTGCAGTAAATCCCAAGGCTGAAAAGGCCACCCACCCTCTCTGGCAGTCCTTATTTATGGCCTATGGCTGCTGGCGGGGAAGGCTGCCCACTGGGGGATGGAAGCTGACGAGGAGCTTCTGAGAAGCCACTGCCGGGCTGCAGGGCTGCACAGAATCGTAGCAGCAGCCCGTTCTGAGAGAAGGGCAGAGAGTCGGTGGATTTGCTGCCTCACCGATGAGGGGGGAGGAGTAGCGCTTCCTCTGTCAGGCTCCTGCAAGAGGAGCCAGGTCCCCATGGGAATGCCACGTGTGGACAACGAGTAAGGAAGACCACAGAAGCGATGGCTCGGAATCATGGTGCTGGTGAAGACGATGGAATTGGATCGCCAGAACTGTGTTCGAAGAAGGATGGCCAGAATATTCCTTCCAAGTGGCGGCATGTCATCAGGAGGGCCACCAGGCTTGTTAAAGCAGAGAGTCAGGGGAGACAAGGAGGACCCCCACGAGATGGATTGACACAGTGGCTGCGACAGTGGGCTCACACCTAAGAACACTCAGAAGGGTGGTGGAAGGCTGGGCAGTGTTTCGTTCGGTTGCGTGTAGGATCATTGTACGTCGGAACTGACTTCCTGCCACCTCACAGCAACAGCAGCATGGACTGGAGGCTCCTTCCACCCAACTCAGCTACCCTGTGAAGAAGAGTGCAGGAGCCAAAGGCAGTTCTTTGGCCACAAGAAGAAACTCTTTGCTCTCTTGGTCAAAGTATCCAACTTACAAATGAAGGGGCTCTGACCCAGAGAGGGGCAGGAAAACAGACTCAGCAACCGGACTTGACTGCACCCCCTTTCTGGCTGAAAGAGGTCTCTGCTGCTCCTCTCATTTCCTGGCCTGTGGTTTTCCTTAGCCTCCCCAAACACTCCACTAAAACTATGCTCACAGGGGTCAGCCATGGTCCCTTCATCACCAGACCCAGGGGCCAACTCCAGAGTCCCTGCAGCATGTGTCTCTGCTGACCTCTCACTCCTGGAAACCCAGCACCCAGGGTCTCCATGACGCCACCCTCTCCTGGTGGTGTAGTTCGTGTACATTGGGCTGCAATCCACACGGCCAGCAGTTTGGAATCACTAGCAGCTCCTTGGGAGAAAGACTGGGCTTCCCCCTCCCATAAACAGTTAGAATCTCCGAAAACCACAAGGGTTACTATGACACAGCATTGACTCATCATTCGTGGTCCATTTGAAACCCTTAAACTGATAAGGGTTGGCACGCTTGGTTCAGAGGCAGCAGGGGTGGGGGAAGTTGGAGGATCTGAATTTCCTCTGCAGCTACTCCAGGGGCAAAACAGCACTAAAGGCTGGAGAAGATGCCGGCAGCTACTGACGAGGAGAGAAGCAGGCTGTCCCAGGTGTATGGAAGAGAGGAAAGAGCCCCTGGGCTGCCCACAGAGGCCTGAGAAGACTCCCTGGGTGGCACTTCACTACTATCCCTGCTGCATGTCAGAGATGGAGTGGTCACCACATGAGAAGAGTCAGAGAAAGGCCAAGAACCCCAGAGGCAAGAGGACTGTAGACAAACCTCTTCCAAAGATGCTCACAGCATCACTCCATAGTGCTAATGGTTAGTCCTCGGGTCATATGAGCCCAACTTCTAGGTGTACCTTGGTCTGCCCTGGATCAGCTTGCCCAGCACTGGAAAGAAGTAGCGTGTCTTGTCAACTTAGATCAGTGGACCTAGAGATGGCCACTATTTTGGTTCAGTGGATTGTGGTTGAAGGGGGAGCCCTGGTGGGGTAGTGGGCGCGTGCTGGGCTGTGATCATCCCAGCCAGCCAACCACGCATCAATCTGGTCAACCACTCACCTATCTATCCATTTAGCTACCCATTCAATCAATATTCCTTTTTCATTTATTAAAAATGCTTACCTATTGGAAGCCACCCTTTCTGTTCCCTGTGGTCCGGAGGCAAAACCCCCTGTGTGTGACTATTGGTATATAAGGGTGGCGTTTACTCCTTCTAGGCCTGGCTGGCTCTGTGCCCAGTTCTCCCTGAGTCACAGCATGCCAACATATGGTTCCAAGTTCCTTTGAGTTTGTGTTCTTCTCGTTAGGGCCACTTGGGGCCTTCTTCCATCCTTCCCACGCATACACTCAGCTGTGAGAAACCATCTAGCCAACTGGAGCACTGGGCATGTTGCATGGCTTTGTGCAGCTGAGGGTAACCACCCTCGATGGAGCAGTCAGTCACAAGGGCAACATGCCTCTGTGGCAGCCTCTACCCAACTCCCTTTCTTGGCCTTATCTCTACCACCCGTGCAGTTCTGAGTCTCACTGCCCTGCTCAGAAAGGGTTCTGGCTTTGGGATCCCTGGGGCCCAGTACTCACTGCCATTGAGTCAAGCCTGACTCATGGCCACCCCCTGTGGGTTTTCCTGGAACTGTTTATGGGAGTAGAAAGGCCAGTCTTTCTCCCGAGGAGGTGCTGGTGGTTTTAAACTGCTGACCATGCAGATCGCAGCCCAGCACCCACCCACTACCCCACCAGGACTCCATCTTGGGCCCAGAGAGGGGGTGAAAAGAGTCCAGGGCTCCCCCTTCATTCAGAGGGCCTCAAGAGCCCCAGGCAGCTTTCACTGAAGCACAGCCCCTTGGCAAGGACCCCCATCTGTTTTCTGCGATGGAGTGGTGGTAAGCAAGGGCTCTGTACCTCTTTCAGGGTGGAGGGGAAGGTGGTTTCTTGCAAGTGGAACTGGGGCACACACTGCAGGGTGAGGCTGAGGACCACGCCGAGGCAGCCCAGGTGCACCTGGGCGGCCTGGAACAGCTCCTCGTTGTTAGACTTCGAGCACGCCACGACAGCCCCGTCCGCCGTCATCAGTGTCAGTGATACGACCTGGCCGGGAGAGAAGAGCCACGCTTCAGAACCCCTGGCAGCAAGCCTGCAGCACCTGAAAGGCCCTTGTTTCCCTGTGTGTTCCCAGAAGACCCCAGGGGGACTTTCCTCAGAAGGGTTTTCAGTCACAACCTGAAGGGTCTCAGTTTGGGGGGAGATAGTAGAAGTGGATATGGGGAACCTATGTGTGGTGGGCATCGAAATTCAGCAGAGGGCTGGACCCATCCATCCCAGGAGGCTCCTGTTGGCCCGTCTTCAGGCCACGCTGATCTGCAGACCTCTGTCAGGGTGTGGGGGGTCAACCTAATCTGGTGTCAGTTTAAGGATTAGGAGTGTAGGGGTGGAGTCTAGGCTGGCAATCTGGAGATAGCCAATGAGACTTCTGTGTGGGCATGGCCTTCTCCTGAGAATTCTGGGAAATCTGGTACTTCCTCCTTGGAGGCGGAAGACATCTCTCTCTCTCTGCTACTCCCTGGGAGACATTGCAGAAGACAAGACACATGGATGCAACCATATCTTGGAAGCTGGAGCAGCCGCAGAGAGATCCCTGCCAGCACTGAGATGCTCACAACGTCACTGGACCCAAAGACTTTCTACCCACTGGCTTGTGATCGCCCTGCATTTGGCTTCATTGCATGTGTTTCGTGAGTCTGAAGAGGGCTTTATAGCTTGGAATGGGACATATGGACTAATATCAGACTTATGGCCTTGGACTGGACTGGGCTGGGATTTTTCTCAATGTTCAATTCCTCTTGTATATCAACCTCTCCCTTATATACATATGTGTGTTTACGAATTTGTTTCTCTAGTCTACCCAGGCTAACACAGAGGACGTGGCGAGCCTTTCCAAGGTGAGACCGGAGCAGCAAAGAGCTGAGAGTTCCTGGGTAACGTTGCGTTACAAAGGCAAAGTGAAGATGTGTGTGCCTCCGGGCCCAGCCCAGCAGCCCGGGACACCACTTGGAGCCAGGCATGCCCTGCCTCCCTCTCTCTGCCTGCCCTGCTCCTCCCTGCGACATCTCACCTCCCTGAGCCCTTCCCCTGTCTGTGTGGCCCCCACTCCCTTCAGCAACTAGAGTCTTCTACACGACACCCATCTCGCCCCTTTGCGGTCCTGCAAAGTTCAGGGAAAGATAGCGATTAACTTTCAATCTCCCTCCTGGATCCTACTTCAGAGGCAACCTCTCTCATTGCCCGTTTCACTGCCCGTGCACACTCCATTACCAGCTAATTTGGATGGAAATTGCTTCTGACACATGTCCTTGGCAGCAAGGTGCTCGGGGTGAGAGAACAGATAAAGCTGAACTAATTTTGATTAAGAGTGGCCAAGACCAGAGGAGCGAAACTGGCAGAAATGGGGCACCATGGCTGTCATCTGTGAGAGTGAGGGCACCAGGACAATTTTTAGAAAATGTAGATTCACCTCAGGTCCAGTGCAGAGAACAAGAGTTACCCAAGGAAGCTCTTCAATAGGGTCCAGGAACAAATAGAGGGCGGCACTGCATGTGCCAGTTGTTGGGTGTCTTATTTAACCTCTGTGCTTGTCTACAATGGGATAAAACCACCTCTCTCAGAGCGCTACGGCAAAGATCAAATGTGAGGATATCTACAGCACTGATTGACAGAATCTACAAAGCTCTATGACTATGTGGACCAGGAGCCCAGGAGCATAGTAGATAGGAGTTGAGCTGCTAACTGCAAGGTCAACAGTTCGAAACCACCAGTCGATCTTGGGAGAAAGACAATAGGGCTTTCTACTCCCTTAAAGCATTACAGTCTGGGAAACTCACAGGGTGTCCTATAGGGTGGCTATGTGTCGGCACTGACGCAAGGACAGTGAGTTTGGTCATAATTGACACCCACACTGTCAAGTTGATTCTGACTCAAAGGGACCTTATAGGACAGATAGATCTGTTTCACAGGGTTCCCAAGACTGCAAATCTTTACAGAAATGGACAGCTTCATCTTTCTCTGATGCAGTGGCTGAGAGGTTTGAACCGCCAACCTGTGGGGCATGTGAGTCCCTGAGTGATGCAAATGGTTAACGTCCGACTGCTGACATGAAGGATGGGGATCTGAGCCCACCTGGAGGTACTTCAGAAGAAAGATCTCATGATCTACTTCTGGGAAGAAAAAAAATCCAAAACAAAAGTCCCCTTCTCCCCGGCTCCCTGCTAGTGACACAAGATGTAAACCCCAATCATGCGTTCTCCTCCTGGTTCCAGGGGACAGTCCTACACCGGGGTCTTTGCATCCTCTGCTGGTCATTGTGCACAAAGAGAGGTAGGCTGCCTCCCATCAGACTGGGGCTGTGGCCAAATCCTGGGGTGCAGGTGTTGTGCTGTCCACCCCCCCACCCCCCCAGTGCCACTGGGCTCTCTGAGGCAGTGAGCACTGAGGCAGTCACAGAACTGGCCGGGGATGGCTCCCACCCCATGCTTGGGAACGGGGTCTGCAAAGTGTGACTCTGCTTAGCTGTCACAACTCTTATCTAGGACACCAAAATCAGTTATCCGACTAGCCTCACACGTTCTCCTTTCCCAGTTCACTTCTCCCCCTCAGGCTGGCCCTCCCTTGCCTCCTGATTCTTGGAGGCCCTGCAGTGAGACAAGAGAAGAAGGAGGAGGAGGAGGAGGAGGCGGCGGCGGCAGCTGAAGCATGTGTATTCGCTGAGAGAGCAGAGTGCGGGTCTGAAGGAGCATTACTTATGAAAACCCCATGGATCCTGACAGCTCAATCTGCACCTGACCCTGGGGACGGAACAGCAGCGGGCAGCACCTCATTCCCTTGGGCCTGGCTCACAATCTGCTCAGCATCAGCTAGCAACACTGAGTTAGGTTTCTCGTCATGATGCTCAGGAAATATGGACAAAAGTTCAAATGAATCCCTTAGAGACAGCTTTGGGCACTGCTTTGTTTTGACCAGTGCCTCCCTGGGACGGAACCACCTGGGCACAGCTCAGAGCAGTCCCACGGAACCAGTGTTGGTCAGAGTATCTGCCTGCACCAGATCCACTGCTGAAGGGAGAGCCTGCCCTACACTTGTCCAGTCAGTTAGAAGGACGCTTAGGGGCTCCTCGGCCGTGATCCAATCCCAGGAATGCTGAAACGCACAGAACACGGACTCCAGAGATCATCTCCTTGATTTGTGAGCAAAGCCCATGACAAACACTCACTGAGCACCAACTGTGCCCATCACACTTGCCTCATCAGAAGTTTAGAGGTTCGAGCCTACCCACAGTTACCTTGTCTACTTCTAGAAAATTAGCCACGGAAAACCTGATGGAGCTGGGCAGGCCTGCAAGGTTGCTGAATGCAAAAATGCTGGTCTGAGATGGAAACTCGCACCGAATCCACCGTAACAAGTGAAAACAACAATACAACTCCCAGTGGAGCAGAGTTCTACTCTTCCACACGAGGGTGCAGGCATCCGAGTCAATTCGTCAGCAACTGTTCTTTTCCTTAGAACTGTGGGTGATATTCTGAGTGGCTTGCCCTCAATGCCATTTCCCAGGTGACAAAACAGGGTGCCAGAGCCAAGCCACAGAGACAATATTGGTGGAGCTTGGAATCAAAATCCCAGTGGCGAGGATTGGAGGGTTCGCTATAATGGTCCAGTCACCAGAGACCAGGTGTGGATGAACTCCCGCGGGTACCCACACACTGTGAGCTGTAGGGGCCAGCCCGCACAGGGATGCTCACCTCTTGAAAAAGGCCCAGCTGCCTGTGAACAAGCCAGCCCTTCCTTCCTTCCTTCCTCCCTCTCTTCCTTCCTTCCTTCCTCCCTTCCTCCCTTCCCCCCTAGTGGTGAAAGTTCAAGGAAGACATCCATGCTCCTCTCAGCACTATTCACAGGCACGAGAAGGTGGAAACGTGAATGTCCACCAGCAGATGAATGGCTAAACAAATTGTGGGACGTCCGTACAAGGGAGTCCTCCTCATACCCATGAGAGACAAGGCCCGCCACGGGCGACGGCAGGGACGAACCGTGAGGACATCACGTTGAGGGAAGCCCACCACAAAGAAGACCAAGGTGGCATGACCTCACTTTTGGGAAGTAGGCAAATGTTTAGAGACCAAAGGCCAGCCGCGGCTCTGGAGGGATGGGGGACGGGAGAGGGGAGCTCACTGCTTCGGGGGGGCCTCGAGTTTCTGCTCTTGGTGGTGGGATAATCTGGAAAAAGATAATGGTGCTAATTGCACACCACAATGAACCTATTCAATGCAACTGACTGTCATTCAATGTCATCTTCCGGTGAAGATGGTTGAATCCTCATATATATCTACTACAATAAAAAGAAAAAGAAAGGTGAGAGTTTGCCTCCCAAAGACTGGTTTCCTGGTAGCAGCACCCTCTGAACAGGTGTTTCATATGGGATCACATTTGACTTTACTGAGGTGAGGATTAGAAGAGAAAACTGAGCACTCAGAGCCCTTCCTTGAGCTCAAGCACTCTGTGAACGGGCAGAGCCATGTTCTATACCTAGGTTGGGAGTCTGTGAACCAGTTCATGAAACTGACCCCTCACTTGCTCACCTGGGCCTTGGAAAGGCCCTTCACCTGCCTGTCTCCCAGCTGCTACTCTTCAGAGGGGTGCTGTCCTCGCTCGGCCTGCCCTGTCTCCTGTGGTGGCTGGGAGTGTCTCGGGAGGCAGGAGATTGAGACTCTTACAACATAAGTGCTCATGAGGGCCTTTGGCACTTGTGTCCGTGGGAGGCCTTGGAGGGCTAGAGAAGGGAGTTTTCCTCCTGGAGGGCTGCTGGTGAGCCTCCATCAGAGGAAGGACACCGGAAGTGGTTGAGGCCACACGGAGGAAGCTGTGGATTCCATATGAGAGGTAGCTCCTCTCACCCAGCAGCTCACCCCAGCACAACTGCAGTCTGATTGAGAAGCAGCTGAACTCACCTGAGTGGACAGGATGCCGTGGTTGATCCCTGTGTTGTGTGTTCCTGACCCAATGACTCCAGCGATGGTCACCTCTGACACTGCTCCCATGCTGGGCCCACCGGAAGTAGAGGGGAGGGGGACAGAAGAGAGGGTTAGGGCTCCCTGGGGCAGTGGGCACCCTTGGATTGAGTTGCAAAGTCCTTTGGAGCAAGGAGATTCCTCATTGCCTGCTTGGGTTCGCCTCCATCTATCCCAGGACTAGGGTGTGTGGAAGTGCGGCAGGTTCTTCCCTCGGAGCCTGTTTGCTCATCTTCTAAAGTCTCTTCAGAAGTGAGGATGGGGAGATTTTGACTCACATACTTTGGACAAGTTATTAGAAGAGACGAGTCCTTGGAGAAAGGTATTGTGCTCGGTAAATAAGAGCGTCACTGAAAAAGAGGAAGCCACTCAACTAGGCGGATTGGCACTGTAGCTACCACAATGGGATTAGGCAGTATTTTGTGCTGAAACCTAGTGTTGTTGTATTAGAAACAACAACAAACAAACAAAGGGTTGGAAACAACAAAATATGGAAGGCTCTTCTCTCTCACTGGCTTGTCATATGAGCAGTGGGGGCCAACATTCAGCCCCGGGTGGGTTTCTGAGGACTCAGCACCCTAGGATGGCCTCTTTCACTCACTCCCCAACAGAATCTTCTCCCCCAAGCAAAGCAAAAATGCTCTGGCTAGGACTCCTTGACACAGCTCATAAGACCGAAAGTTCTCTGGATGTGACCATCCTTCCATCACACTTCCCAGGAGGATTTGAGGAGGTGAGAACCTGTTTTGGCAGCAACGGAGGGAGGTGGCACACTTCCTGCTACCTCTTCTGCTCAGTCACCATTTGTGAGCTATGTGACCATGGGTAAGCCCACTTCCTTCACACTCCGACATCTGTGGAGGGTGCAGTGTCTTCCTCACAGGGCTACGTGACAATCAAACATGGGAGCACATAAAGGACCCAGCACAGGGTCTGACCAACCCATTTTGTTCCCTTTCTCTATGAGATTGGCTAAGGGTTGACTTTGGTCAAGCACTAGACTAGTTGTGAATGTCGTTAATGCGATGTAATCACTTTCCACATTGTAACCCATGTTATCTAACCACCTTATTTGAAAAAGGAGTATCCTTAATGTGTGGTCAGTCTCCAGACTGTGTACAGGTATGTTGGGAGATCGCTCTTTCTCTCCACTCTACATTTTCTCTTTTGTCTGACCTAGGGTTCGGACATACAAGCCTGCAGAAGTCTCCTGCCTGTCACCTGACATGTGGAGTTTGGAGTTACCAAGCCTTCCACAATCATGTGAGCTAGTCCCTAGAAGCATTTTTTTTTCAAGTTTGTTGTGAATTGGGTGCAAGTTTATACAATGCAGATGATCAGCTTACACTCACCAATTCATACACATTTTGTTTCAATTCAGCCTCTGCTCTCCCCTCAGTGCACCACCATGCATCCCACTTCCTCCTTCTTCCCAACCTTGAACTTTGGCCTTGGGTAAGTGCTGCTGCTCAGGGCTGAGGTCAATTCCAGACCCTGGTCTCTTTCATCTCTTTTGTGATCTGGGGTTCTGTTCCACATTTTCCTCCCACTCTATCCAGGACTTTTTAATGGGATCTTTTCAGAGCCAGGCACCCTCTAGTTCTTCTGGTCTCAAGACTGTGGAGACCCACGTCTGCGGATTCCACTAGTCAAGCAGACAACTCGTTTCCAAGTATCTTCAGTTTTCATCACTCACCCTGGAAGTAAATCTTTCCCTCCGCTCCTGGTATCTATACAGTGAACCCTTGCCACTTCGCGCTTCGACTTCCGCAGCTTCACTCTATTGCGGTTTTTGCGTAACAGCGCATGCTCTGTCATTACTGCCACTGATTGGCTCATACTGTACATGCTTGATGCCATAAATAATATAATAAATAATAAATGATAATTGTAATGTCCAAAATGTTTTACTGTATTTTCCCTTTTTCGTTTAATAAATTGGGTAATACGAGTGTAATGGTGACTAAAGGGTGTTTTTTCATGTCCTCTATGCTCTAACTACGAAAATATTTGATTTACAAATAAGGAATCCTACTTCGCGGAATTTCATTTATCACGGTAGGGTCTAGAACCGATTAACCGCGATAAACGAGGGTTCACTGTATTTCTCTACTCCTTTCTAAATCGGTCCTTTATCTGTGCGACTATCTCCCTGGTTCTGTTCTTTAGAGAAACCTGACTGAGATACCCTTTGACTTACCAGCAACAGGAACTCGGTAAGTCTCCAAGGCATTCTTGAAGCGAGGCCCTCATCCTGACCCCTGGCACGCCGCTGTCCCCCCCCTAAACCCCCTGCCTCCACTTTCAGCCCAGAGCCGCAGGACGGAATAGTCTAACTTCTTTTAGAAAAGCAGGTGGATGTTGTGCACTCAGTCACTGGAGGAGGACGGAGTCCCCAGGGAAGGAGAGAAAACTCATGACCAGGTCACAGCGATGCTTCTGGGTCTGGCAAGCCATGCTTGCAATGAAGGAGACCACCGTTCCTCCTGTCCTCCTTGGTCATGGGCCCTGCCCCACGGTCTGCTCACAGGCCCCGGCGCCCCACGCTGCTTCACTCTGCTTTTGCTCATGAGAGTCCCTTCGCTAGAAAAGGCCTTCCACCCACTCTTTACTCTAGGGAACCCCACTCATTGAGGATGCAATCTGGGGTCCCGCCTACAGGAATCCTCCCTCAGTCACCCCCCTTCCGAGGCTGAACATGGTCTCCTTTGGCACTGCCTGAGGCGCATCCTTGGTGCTTTGATGCTTGTGTCCTGCACTGCATGTGTTCATTTCTTTCTAGGTCTGTCTGCACTCCTTGCACTTGGCGTCTGGGGTTTATTCACCTGTCTCTTCAGGGCTGGAACAAGCTGTACACATGGTAGATGCTCTGAATGTGCGTGAGCTGCCGTGGGCAGCTGGGGAGCAGGAAGAGTGTTCCCAGTGGAAAGACCAGTGATCCCCCAGGACCTGTGACAAGGAAGCTGGGGGGACAGCAGAGAGCGGGACTCTCCCGCTGGAAGGTAAGCCACAGGGTTCCATGGGCAAAAGATACTCGTGTTCCAATATCCTGCACACCTGGGTCTCCTATTTCTTTCTTTCTTTTTTTAAAGCTTTTTAATATAATTTTTTTTAGCATTTTTTTGGGGGCTCATACAACTCATTACAATCCTCTCAATTTCTAATAGTTGAAATTTCCCAGTTACAGATTCACTCCTTTGGTTCTATTTGACTCCTATTTTGGTGGAGATCCTCAAGCTTAAACCTTCTCAATCACTGACTTCACACTTGGATGGAGGGCTCATTGCGGCTACAGTGTGCATGCTGGGAAGCTCCGTGGCACATTCGTGGTCCTCATTTGTTTTCCTGAAGAATTATGTGCAGTCTTCTGTCTGGATCCCTACCAGAGCCCTGGTGGCTTAGTGGTCATGATGGGTTGGGCGGCTAACCACAAGGTGAGCAGTTCGAAACTACCAGATGCTCCTCTGGAGAAAGAAGGTGCTTTCTAGTCCCATAAAGTTAGTGTCATAAAATAAATGAAATACACACACCCACCCACACACACACACACACACAATTGCCGTTAAAAAGAAAGAAAGCAAGCAAGCGTCACAGACTCAGAAACCCACAGAGGGAGTCTGCCCTGTCCGATAGGGCTGCCATGAGTCAGAATACACTGCATGGCAGTGAGATTGATCCCCACCCCCACCCCCACCCCCGTTTGGATCTTTAGAGTTGTTTGTTGCAACCTTTAAGCAAGACTCCCTCCAGCAGTCTGTGCCCCCATGTGAGTCTATTATTTAAGGCTCCACACATTTTTGGCTCATACACTTTCCTTTTCTTATTCACACCTCAGCCGCTGGCCTGCGGGGGATGCAGGAGGTGGAGGAGGCCTGTGGGGGAAGAATGGAACCCAGAGGAAGGAGGCATGCCCTAGAGCAAGGAGGCATGCCCTAGAGCAGCGGTTCTCAACCTGGGGGTCAAACGACCCTTTCACAGGGGTTGCCTGATTCATCACAGTAGCAAAATGACAGTGCTGAAGTAGTAACAAAAAATAATTTTATGGGTGGGGGGTCACCACAACATGAGGAACTGTATGAAAGGGTGGCGGCATTAGGAAGGTTGAGAACCACTGCCCTAGAAGGTCAGCCTTGCTCCTGCCACCTCCTGGGGCACCTGGCTAGAGCTGGGGGTGGATGTGCAGGCAGGCGGGTGGGGGCTCTTACTTGGACATGGCCAGGCCGTGCTTGTCCAGCTGTGGGTACAGGTCAGCCAGGAGGATGCCAGCCTCCACAGTCACCTGGTTCTTCTCTTTGTCCACCTGCAAGAGACCATCCAAAGCTGGGAGGAGCTGGGCTGCCCCTCTGGACCCACCACAGAGGTTGGGCATGTCTGTCCCCAGCCTGTGGTCAGCTGGGGCCATCTCCCACTGCAGATAGCCGCTGAGGAGTGGGGCCCTGGATGGATTCTGCTCTACCTCTTCTTTTCCCAAGGACAAGGAATAAGGCCCAGGGGAAAGGGACTTGGCAGAGGTCATCCAGCAGAGGTAAGCTTGGGTCTCCTAACTGTTGGACCTGGAGCCACGGAGGTGCAGTGGTTACAAGTGGGGCTGCTAACCATAAGAATAGCAGTTTGAGACCCCCAGCCGCTCCCCAGGAGAAAAACAGGGCTTTCTCTTTCCTTATAAAGTGACAGTCGCAGAACCCCACAGGGCAGTTCTACTCTGTCCTGGAGGGTCACTAGGAGTTGGCTTCTACTTGACAGCAGTGAGCTTTTGTTTGCTTTAACTGCTAGACCTGGGGAGCCCTGGCGACAGAGTGGTTGTGCGCTTGGCTGCTAACTGCAAGACCAGCCGTTCGAAACCCCCAGCCGGCAGGTAGGACTGTCTACACCGGTAAAGAATTGTTGTTAGGTGCCATTAAGTCTGCTCTGACCCTGCACACAACACAATGAAACACTGCCTGGTCCTGTGCTGCCCTCGTAATTGTTCCTATGTTTGAGGCCACCGTTTTCAGCCCTCTGCCAATCCATCTCGCTGAGGGCTCTTATCCTTTCCACTGTCACTCTACCAAGCCTGATGCACGCCATGGAAACGCTGTCAAGAGTTACGACCTTGAACACCGACAGGGCCGTTCTACTCTGTCCTATAGGGTCGCCATGGGTCGGGCTTGATGGTAGAGTTTGGTTTGGGTTCCGCTGCTGCTAGACCTGTTTTCCCGCCTTCCCTTCTACCCAGCCTACCCGACCCTGACCTCCAACTCTGGAGAGATGGGCTCCTTTGCATAGTTGTGGGGACCTCTTCCAGCAGGGACTTGCCTTCCCTCAAACCCCAAACTAAACTCACTGCCAATGAGTTGATTCCGATTCGTGGCAATCTTCAGAACAGGGTGATACGGCTCCTGTGAATTTCTGAGACTAACTTTTTCCCCTCCCTTTATTTATTTATTTAGACTGTAACATTTTATCATAGAAGTCTTTCTCCTGTGGAGCAGCTGGGGGTTCAAACTGCTGACCTTGCAGTTAGCAGCCCAACATATACCCAGTATGACAGCAGGGCTCCCTCGGAAGTGTTCAAATCTCTCTGCTGTGCTGTCAGATGGGGTAGGGGGGGGGGGACTGAGAATGAGAGGGGGAGAGGAAGAGCCACATCTATAGGGTGGCTGCCACCTGTAAGAAGTGCCCATGAGATCCTCTGAAGCCTTTACCCAGACGGGTAACACTCCAGGGCATGAATCACTTGCCTAGGTCGCACACATGCTGGTGGCAAAGCTGAGGTGAGAATCCACATCTGTGTCCACAGCACAAGCTCACTGCCTTGACCCCGAGGTGGGAGGGAGCTCAAATCTGTGGCTGGAGACCAATCTCCACTAATTAGCAATCAGAGTTAATTTCAGCCATGATGGACTCCTTGACCAGAATATTTTCTGACAGGTGGAGACAGTTCATCTCAGCAAATAAGTAAATCTTAGAGAAAATCCAGACCTCCGCAGCCGAGGTGGGGGTGGGGGTGGGTATCAGGCAAACTTTATAGCCTTGAGCAGAATAGGAGTCCTGACCTGCCGGTTATCTGCTTAGCACCAGGCGGGCACCCATCACATGGGACTATTCAGATGGGCAGCATCCTAAGTAGCGGAGCCCTGGTGGCATAGTGGGTTACCGATTGCACTGCTAACCACAAGGCCAGCAATTTGAAACCACCAACCGCTCTTCAGGATAAAGATGGGGCTTTCTACTCCCGGAGGAACTAGTTTTGGAAACCCACAGGAGTACTTCTGTGCTTGTCCTATAGGGTCTCTCCATGGCCTTGAGTGATCCCAGCATGGGACTTGGTGGCAGAGCCCTGAGTCTGGGCCCAGCTCTACTCCTGATTGGCTACTGCGGCCCTCCCTAATCACCAGTGTCTCCTTCCCTAACCCTGGCTAAGTGTCGAGTAAGGCCCTTCCAGATCTGTCTTGGTGAACTGTTTCAGGGGGCTGGCCAGACACCACTCCCAGAGAAGTATCACAGAGGGGTGGGGAGTCGGGGGAGTGCTTGTAGGAGTGGGTGGTGGCCGCTCTCTAGGCTGCAAAGGGGAGCCCAAGCCTGACAAGAGGCCTGAGCCAGCTCAGGAAAAGATTCAGGTGAGGGACGCTGAGAGTGGGTCAGGACACAGGACACAGAGGTGAGAAGGGGGCCAGGGCTGTGGGGTCTGGGATGAAGACTTTGGATGGAGGCAGAGGCTGCCCAGCTGGGGACAAGCAGAGGTGGGAGCCAAGGCATCCACCTACCTGGAGGATGCGGTTCATCTTGCCCATGTGGATCATGAAGCCGTCGGTACAGGCGATGTCTGAGGGTGAGTGGCCACCGCCTACCACCTTCACCCGCTTGTTCTGCTGCCTGGCTAGAGCCAGCACCTGCCAAAGCAATACGGGGCTCACGCCTGGACTCAGAGCTAGTCTAGGCCCTCTCTGTGAGGCAGGCAGAGAGAGGCAGGGGCACCCCAGGCCTCCAACCTTGGCCTGATTGCAGCTTGCCTGAAGGCTACCCCAGGAAAGAAGAAGCAGGGCATGAAGCAGGATGGAGAACCACGGTGCCTTCCTGTTGTGGGGCCCGGGCTGTTCTCTATCCTGCAGCTCCATGCTTGTCTCAGACCGCTGATCACATTCTTCCTCCATGCCTCAGAATAAGTCCTCCTCCCCAGCCTGCGTCCCACGCTGGCAACGAAGCCTCCCCTAGGGTAGGCGCCACGGATCCGTTGGACTCTAAAGCTGATGTTTAACCCAAGCCTGGCATTAGCAGGTCATCTCTAATGATTGCTGATCCAACTTCCATGAATCCATTCACTTCTCCTGTCCCGTGCCTGATCAAACACCCCCTGAGCATTTCTAGACATCTCTTCCACAGGAGACTAGCCTGGCACTTTACACCATAGAGCGTTCCACGGCCAAGTAAGATTGAGAAAGGTTCGTCGACAGTCTCTGTCCTCATCCTTTCTCCTCCACCCACGAACAGTTTAGTATTAAGACTACGAGGTTCTGTCACCATCTTCCTCACATTGCCTTGACCACATCTTCTTCTGTTTACATAATCCCACTAGTTTTCTATGGAAGCATGGACCGGCAATACCTTTCTCCTAGTGGTAATTCATGATCGTGGATAGCTCAGCCCAGCATAGGAGATGCCTGCTCACACAGGTAGTTCTTACAGAGCACCTCCTGATGTCTTCCTCAGAGACAGGGAGAAGACAGATGCTTGGGGCCCCAGGCTCCCTGTGGTCCACGCCTCTCTTCCTCCCCAGCCTTCCTCTTCTATTCTCTGCTCCCCTCACCCTCCTGGCACCTACAGAGGATGATTTTCTGGGCATTCCCCCGCCTCCCCCTATGAGGGACATTTCTCTCCCTCTTCTCCTCACTCACAATGCCCTTCCCCAGCCCCTTGTTGACCACTTATTCATCCTGCAGAGCCCCCTCACTTCCCCCATCCCTTTGTGCTGCCTTTTCTGTGTGAGAACATGCCAAAGAAAATGGCAGAAACCAGAAACAATCTTCAGTTTGGATCCTGACTCTGACCCTAATTCATATGGGAGAATTGCAAGCCTCAGTGGACCTTGTTCTCCTCAGCTCTAGAAAGGGAATATTACTCACTACTCACAATAACAATCGCTGAGACCGAATATGAAGCACATGGTACAGAGTACTATACAGAGTACTATTATCTGACTGCCCTTACACAGCCATACATGTGCACATGTATACACACTCCCCCATACATACACATGCACACAGAAATACAGATGCTCACCTATACAAACATGTACATACCCACTTATGCACAAACACTCTCAGGTTTATACCCACACATGCATGCGTAAGCACTCTCTTATAGACTCACCATGCACACCCATGCACTTACACATGTGCACACATGCTCTGTTGCCTCCTGTCTAACTCTTATTGTTTTCCAAGTGTTCTCTCACTTACTTTTAATCGGTATAAAGTTCCATGTATTTTTTGTCTAAAAGACTTTCTCATATATATGTTTTCATTTTTTTAAACCAGTATCTTCAATTCTATACCATTGGCTACATCCATGATATTTATCTTACAATTACCAAATGACTCATGGAGATTATTTATGTTTTTTCTCAGGAGGCTGATCATGCTGCCTCTACAGTAGATCATAGAAATGATATAAACCTTAAATATGAATGGAGTTTGAGCTTTCACTTACTCATAGCCCCAAATTAAGAGCAATCTCTTCTTGTGATGTGGTCCTCCTCAACACTAACCTTCACTTCAGAGGTCACTGAAGACATGCTGCATAGCAAAGGGTAGTGAAGAAATCAGATGGTACCCGACTATCAGAAAGGACAGTGTCAATTTCCTTTGTTGTTTTATTTGGCTTTGCCTGGTTTTTGCACTTATTAATGTATCTGCATGTCTATCTAGATAAGATAGGCAGGATAAATAATTTGGAGATGAAAAGAATGGGGCCAATGTCTGGTCCCATACAGGAGAAGGGGAGGTAGGAGAAAGGAAGGGGTGGTGGTGAACCAACCCCAGGCCAAGGGAACAACAAGTAAACTAAAATCAATGGAAGGAAGGTCATAGGATGACTAGTGAGGCTCAATCAAGGGAAATGTAGCAGCAGGGATTATTAAACCCAAATGAAGGCTGAACATGGGGTGGGACAGGAGGGAAGTAAGAATGAAATAGAGGACCCTCCCTCTCCTCTCCTCTCCTTTCTCTCTTCTCCTCTCCCCTCTCTCTC